GCTGCCTCGCCCGCACATCCCCCCTGGGAGAGGGAGCAGGGTGGGGGCTCCTTGGCAGCAGTCAGAGTCGGGGCCTGGTGTTTATCTTTATTTAAAATTTTTTAAGAATGTAAATGTCAAATATTTATTTAATAAAAATTATGAAATTGGGGTGATGTAGGCAGGGGAACCCAGTATTACAGAGAAGAAGAGTGGTAAATCATCATCTTCCTCACTAGGAAGACAGTGATATAAAGAATCAGCAGATAGCAGTACAAATACAGTGTTTAGAAGTCTAGAGACAAGCTGGGCGTGCTGGCACATGCCTATGCTGTAGCTCCCGGAGGCTGAGGCAGGGGATCACAAGTTCAAAGCCAGCCTGGGCCACTTCGGGAGACCCTGTCTCAAAATGGAATAAGGAAGTGCTGGGGAGGGATACTGGCCAATTCCTACTGTTGGATTGTGTGCGCGACAAATATGCAACAGCAGACCCGACCACGATAGTGCCACCAACTACAAGGCACCCGTAAAAATGTGGAACGAACTGGGCACATTTGACTCCATTTTCACAAATTAAAAAAGTAAGAAGAAATCCTGGGATGCAGCTCAGGGATGGAGTGCTTGCCCAGCATGCAGGAGGCCCTGGGTTGAGTCTCCAGTATGAAGTAAGAGAGCGAGGAGAAAGGAGAAGTCTGGAGGTCAGGAGTCCCAGTAGGAAGAGAGGACGTGAGGGCCTCTGGGGGGGGGGGCAGGTGAGTGCTATTTTTCTTCTATTAAGTTTTTTACTTATTCTTCTTTCTACATATTTCTTGGTGTTTTATAGTTGTACATAATGGTGTTTTTTTTTTTTTTTTGCACCAGGAATTGAACTCAGTGACACTTGACCACTGAGCCACATCCCCAGCACTATTTTGTATTTTTTTATTTAGACACAGGGTCTCACTGAGCTGCTTAGCACCTCGCTTTTGCTGAGGCTGGCTTTGAACTCACTGTCCTCCTGCCTCAGCCTCCTGAGGATTTACTGTTACATGCTGTGCCTGCACACGACATAGCAACAGGATCACTTGGCCAGTACCCTCCCCAGAACTCCCCTCTTCCTCCTCTCTTCCCACCCCTGGGCCTGGTTTTTCTACCCATTCTGTCATTGTCCAGTTGTGAGACAATATCCCAAACCCATCTTGTTAGAGTAACTGTCTTCTCTGACTGCACAGCCTTGCGTCAAATTGCTCACTTATAAATTGAGATAATAGAACCTGTCCTGGTTTTGTCTAATATTTGGGAAAACATGTTGGAACATCATAACTGTTATACAGGCAAAGTACTACAAAACAAAAAACTGTAACCCGTAGCATCAGTGCGGAGACACTTTGATCTAATTCTGTATCCAGTGTTCATTGGCAATTGTCAAATGAATGGCTTTGGTTTTTCATGGTGTTTGCTGCCCATGCTGTTTCAACTCATCCTGGGTCAGGCAGACAATGAGCGAGGCAGAAGCCAGGCTGCACTCTTGGGTTTCGCCGTGAATGAATGTAAGGCCGAGCAGGTACGCCTCTGTCCTTGACTCCAGTGAGTCAAGGCCTTCAGTGAAAGCTGAACGTGTGAGAGGACCAGATCCTTCCCCGCACGAGAAGCCAGCCCAGAGTGGCTGTGCAGGAATTCCTAACTCCTGCTATGGACAGGAGCATGTGGTCCTTCCTAATGCGCATCCAGCAACAGCTGGAGACACGGGCCCCCGAAGTGAGCGCAGTTGTCTGGGAAGGGCTTAGCTAGAAATAGCCAGCTGGAAGAACGTCATGACGTCAGTGACGACCTCAGACAAGACACAGTGGTGCCCGGCAAGGAATGTGGACCAAAGAGGAACGCCACATTCATATTTCTTGAACTTTGGCAAAGCTTTGGTTTCTTACAGGATGTAAACTACGCGGAAGGTATCACAGGAGGGCATGCTGGAGAGCGCTTCAGTATATTGTTTTTGGCATATTATAAGTATACCAAGCAGTTTTGATACAAAAATAAATATCAAACATCTATTGGCACTTTTGGGGGGGCAGGGGTAGTGGGAATTGAACTCAGGGACACTCAACCACTGAGCCACATCCCCAGTCCTATTTTATATTTTATTTAGAGACAGGGACTCTACTGTTGCTGAGGCTGGCTTTGAACCTGCAGTCCTCCTGTCTCAGCCTCCAGAGCCACTGGGACTTCAGGCAGTGCCACTGTGCCTGGCCTATTGGCACTTTTATGGGGGAAAATCCTACACAATACACTATCGCCATCTTTGAAGACAAGACATATTCAAAGGAAAGACAGAAACTGTTCAGCTCCAATGCACTGGGACACCTCAAGGCCACGCGTGTTAAGAGGCAGCTGAACACACTGGATGATGAGCTGTGTCCGACTTTGGCAGGGGGACGGTATTGTGTGTGTCATGGTGGGAGCTGAGCAGGGACTAGGTTGGCAGTGGGGATTTGACAGGTGGGAAGAGGAAAGGAGTGTGAATACCAAGCTGAAGGTGGAGAGAAGGTCTCATGCGCCGCAGCTGGACCTAAAGGAACCAAGAACGCACCAACTCTTGGCATTTACCACTCAAAGAAATGGCACAGAATGGTGCAGTGTAAAAATGCAGACACGCCCGATTCTTACCACACACCCGGAGACCTAGCAAGGTTGCCCAAGGTCGAATGCAGAGCTGTGTGGACCTGGGCCTCGGGGCCAGTCTCCTGAGCGCATTCCTCTCTGTGGAGCTGGAGGGTAAGTGGAGACACAACCCTGAAGCCTTTCCAGGCTGGGTTTAGAAATTTGTTTTTTCTTCTGTGAGGAAAAGAAGCAGACGATGTACCTCACCTAGTGACAGGGAGAACAACCCAACCCACCAGCAGATCATCTTGACATTGACCTTGGATGAGAGTCTGGAGTGGGCATTTTAAAGGATGGGTTTTGAGTCCTTGAGTACCTGGAAGAACCCTCACAAGCACAGAGTCCTCTAAAGCCACTGGAGTAACTCATTTCCCCTGCGACCCATGCGCAACAGAAAACCATAGTTTGCACTTCAGGGAGACACGAACTTCAGGTTCCACCAGGAGAAAAGGACAGCGTGGACTAGAATAGGTGGCAGGCGAGTTTGCATCCACTTTTGAAGTTAAAGGGGATCTTGGGACTCATCTAGCCCTGCCCTGTCCTCTTACAAATGAGAAAAAGGACACAGGTAAGGTAAAGTGGTTTAAGCCACCTTCATTGTCACCGGCACCACCATCTAATCAGCCTCTACATGTTGAGCCGGTGCTATGTACCTGGCGTGCTCTAAGCGAACAGGGTGCCCGCTCTTACCGCTCACAGTGGCGCTGCGAGGTAACTGAGGCCCAGGGACACACCACCGCATGAGATGCCCTCGGGCTGTTAGCTGCGGAGCTGGGTTCTGCCCTGGCAAGACTGGCCTCTGGCTGGCTCTCCCCGTGGGTGCAGCCTCTGCCGGCCAGCGACTGGTGAGTGGTAGAGCAGAGGCCAGAGGCACCCGTGAGCGGACTTGGCAGTGGTGGGAGCTGCTCCTCTGCCGCCTGTTTCCAGCGTTCTTACCCTGACGTGGACACTCTGCAAGGAGGGCACCGCACTGTCGGGGGCGGTGAACAGGGCGGGAAGGAGGAGCCCTGGGCAACAGACAGGACCCAGCAGCCCTGGCTGAGGAGCGAATCCCCCGAGTTCCCACTTCAGAGGGACACAGGCCCCTACTGCCCAGGGGCCCCGACCAGTCTCCCAAGAATGGGATGAAGAGTGGTATCAAGGGGCCATGGCTTGAGGGCAGGCATGTGCCCTGACACATGGGGCTGCCCGAGGTGCCTGCGGTGGGCAGAGGTCCTCCGGCGAAGGCCTGCAGCACTCCCTCCCTCCCTCCCTCCCGCCCGTCCCCACCCCGACTTTTCCTGCTCTGGTCTGGGCCTGCTCTGGCCCACCACCCTGCTGCCATCCATGTCCTGTGCGAGCAGGAGATGGCTCGCCCGCAGTGCGCCCTTCATCCGTGACCCTGGCCCTTGGGGACTGTGCTGACAGCACGTCTGCCACCCTGCTGGCACAGTCACCTGGAGGGCAGGGGATAGGCTGTCTGGAAACTGCATCCAAGTCTGGCCAGTCCCTTGCCCACCTTGTGGGGTCTGCAGGCTGCGGTGTGCCTGGAAGCAGGTGACGCCTGCTGCACACAGGCCGGCAAGAGGTGCAAGAACAGAGAGCACGTGACGAGGGGCCTGAATTGCAGAGGACCCCACTGTGACAGACCCCATAGGTCTCCCTCGTGTGGCTCCAGGAAGTAGCTGAGGTCCTGGGGACAGAAGCTACGGAGGAGAGCCAGGTTCCAGCTCAGCAGAGAGCGCTTTGGTGGTGAGGACCACAGAGGGCTGAACTGGGATAGTACTGAGCTCCCTGCTCCCAGAGGCATTCAAGAACAGGCCAGCAGCACCTTGTCACAAGGGCTGGACAACAGCTCCGATATCAGCCGAGCTTAGACTCCCCTCTGCAGACTGGTGCCAGCCAGGGTTGGCGGTGCCCATGGGCCCCAGAGTGGTCTTTGCATGTGGTATCTGAGCTGAGTCCATCCCTCGGGGACCCTGAGGATGAGAACCACAGCCTGATGCAGCACCGCCTTCCCATCGTTCCCCAGCTTCCCTCCTGGGAGCGCAGTCCGGGCAGGAGGGCCTGGGTTCCAGTTCTCCACAGCTGGGCCGAGTCCGCTTTTCTGATCGGTGCTCATGAAAGGGCCCGGTTCTCCGCCCCACCCCCGCCCGTCAGCACCGAGTGCGGCGGAGCCGGCGTGGGAACACGCATCTCAATAAAGCCCCATTGATTTTTGTGGGTGCAAGTGGAGGAAAAGGCGCCCAAAGGGTCTCCCTGGCCTGCCCCTCCCCCTCCTGACCCACTGGGGCGGCCACACGTCGATTGGTTACCGGATAATAGATCGCGCCACCGGCGGGGACCTCTGGGGACGGCTGGGAGCTGAGTCGCAGCACAACCCGCCCGAGTTAATCAAACTAGCAACAGGGTCTGGGCGGCAGGAGCAGGAGCGCGCGGCTTTACGCGCGATTACTGACAGGCACCAGCTGCCGCCGCTCGGCGCACCATGTGGACCTGCGCTCCGGGGGCAGATGCCTGACTAATCCCGCGGGCTGGCCCGGCCCTGCTCCGGCGGCTCGCAGGCGATGGCCACTCGCGCGAGCCCAAGTTGAAGCCGCGGGCTGTGCGGAGCCCGAGGGGCGTGATCCTCCGTGGGCGCGGGCGGAGGATGAACTGAGGATCAACATGTATGGGAATTACCCTCACTTCATGAAGTTTCCTGCAGGCTTTGGAGGTGAGTCGGCCGGCCTCGGCGGCGGGACCTGTCCGGGGGGCAGGGAGGACGGAAGGGCCGGTGCTGGGCAGAAGGAGGGCGCCTGTGTTTACCCGGAGCCGTGCAGCCTGTGCCCGAGTGCGCGGCCGGAGGGGGAGCGAGGGTCCGCCGCCGAGGAGACGTTAGCCTGCAGCCTGAGGGCTGGGGGCAGCCCAAGGACAGCGTCTAGCGGGGACGCTCTGAGACAAAGATCGAGAAGAGCATTGTCATACCCCACATGTGTGTGTGGGGACGGCGGTGGAGGAGCCAGGGACGCGGCTCGCTCAAACCCCTCATCTAATCTGGAGCCGGGAAGGTGGGAGTGGGAGGGCTTGGCCCCTGTCGCCGGTTGTTCCAGTTGAAAGAGGCTTTCACTATAATTGGATTTTCAAAAAGAAAACAGCCCTTTAACTTGCCACTCTTCTCCCTTTGACTTGCTAATGGCTCCTCTCTTCCCCCTGCGGCTGCCCACCCCCATTCCTTAGGGAGGTTGCCGCTGCCACTCTGGGGGGTCAGCTCTGGGGAGGGGGTCTGAGCTCTCACAGGAGACAACGGGCAAGCTGAAGACTCCAGTGGCCACACCAGGCGGGGCAGCCAGGGCACTCTTGCAGAAGCTTCCAGAGACTGGGTGCACAGTCTTCCTCCAGGCCCAGGCACACCCCTGCGAAGGGTCTCTCATTCAGGGACAGCCTCCCAGTTCCTGCAAAGGGAGCCAACAGCTGACCAGCTGGCCTCTGGTGTCACAGTGGCAGGCGGTGGCACGTAGCTGGCATTTGGGAGCCAAGGGGGAGCTTTCCCCTTATGGATCTGGGCGCCAGGACAGATATTTTTGTAAGGTCTTGAGAACTGAAAAGTTCCTGCCCCCTGCCCTCCTCTGGACAGCCGGCCGGTTCACCAGCAGGGGATAAGGGGATAAGGTCTGCCCGCGTTGCTGGGCCCGCGTTGCTGGGTGGACCCAGCCCACTTTGTAGGGTGGATGTGGCTCCTGACCTGGGGTAGTAGGCTGGGGCGTTGCTCAGTCCTTCAGGCAAGCATGGAGTCCGGCCCTGGAAGGGCCGATCGAGGAGGCCTGTCTGCCTCCCAGGCTGGGGCAGCTCTGAAAGTGAGCAGCATGGCATGCGCCCGCCCCGTGGGAGGCAGCCTTCTCTTATCCCTGCCAGTCTGAGACCTGGGAGCGTGGAGGCCAGTTCTGCGTCCTGGACACTTGGTCTCAGTTTTTCGCTGGACTCTTCCTAACTCCCTCTTCGCCCCATCCAGAGCTCAGGCTTTCTTCCCCTGGGCTTCTCTGAGTCTGACTGTTGGAGGAGCAGACTCATCCTCAGGCAGATTCTTGAGCCCGCCACGGCCATTTGATCCTGCAAGGCAGTGGAGGTGAGAAAAAGGGTCAAGTAGATAGGTGTAGGAGAGGAAGCCCACTCTAAAGCCCTGGGGCTGCCGGGGACCTGAAACATTAGCCTCCAAGGGCTGCAGAGTGCCCTGTCCTTTTGTCCTTTAGATGTGTAATCCCAGACTTGTGGGGGGACCAGTCTGGGACCACAGAGGGTTGAGTTGCAGAAAAGCCTCTCACAAACTTATGATGCTATTGCTTTAAATTGATGTAGTAAAGGGAAAGAGAGAGAGAGAGAGAGAGAGAGAGAGAGAGAGAGAGAGAGAGAAGAAGAAGAAGAAGAAGGAGGAGGAGGAGGAGGAGGAGGAGGAGGAGGAGGAGGAGGAGGGAAGGGAGGGAGGAGGGAGGGAGGGAGGGAGAGAGAGAGCGCGCGCTGAGTCTGGTTCCCAGCTTTTCACTTAGCTGTGTGACCTTAGGCAAGCTCCAGACCTTTCTGGGCCTTACTGACTTCATCTCTAAAATGGGATTCATCATCGCAGGCTTGGTTTTGGGGGAGTGTGAGGGGAGCTGGCCCTGGGGGAGGGCTGCTGCAGAGCCGTCCATACATTGGTGTCAGGTTTCCATTCCTTCGTCCCACTCACATACAAACAAGCAAATAAATGTAAAGGCGGATGTCACTGTAGAATAATGAAACAGGGATCTGGAAAAATACAATTAAATCCTCATCTTTTGACCCACATATTTTGTGGCTCAGATTCTCATAGTTGTGGGGCTCCAGTGTTTGCTGCAATGAGGTTTCGGAGAGCAGACCCAAGGTGCAGCCTCAAGAAGCAGTTTTGTCCCTGGGGCGGGAGGGAAAGGCCTTGCAGGCTGTTTGAGGGCTCCTCAGAGGCAGTCCTCCCTGACCCCCAGGGGGAGGATAGTCATCTTGTTTGGGTCTGTTGATATTTTCCATTTTGTTTGCATGCGCCAGTCAAGAGGAGGCTAAACACAGACCCCAAGGTCTCCACCCCAAGTCAGGGAGGCCTGAGGCCTGGCAGAGCTGAGGAGAAGGACAAGGCCTGTGGCAGGCCCGGGGTGCTGAGGACAAGAGCGGAGGTCACCCACAGCCTCTCACCATCCTTGCCCCGATGCTGCAAGCTGTGCTGTGCTCCTGATGACTTGGTAGACAGCTCCTGCCCGGGCCACACACGCAAGGGGAGCCACAGAGGAACCCCGTGAGAATCCCCGGGGAAGCAAAGTCACCCGTGGAGGTAACTGGGCTGTGCTTACCAGGTGCCCCAGAATTACCCACCAACCACCAAGAGACTGGTCAAGGTGGCCCGAGGCTCGTGGGTGCTGGGCCCCAGTGGCCCACACAGGTGCCCACATTCCCCACTCAGCACCTGCCTGCTTGTGGGGAGCCTCTCTCCTCTGCGGCTACACCCGGGCTGCTTGGTAAGAGGCCTGCTCTCCTGGGGCGAGGAAGTGCCTGTAGCCCCTAACCCTAACCCTAACCCTAACCCTAATCAGTGCCCCGAGCTTCAGGGCAGAAGGCGGTCAGCCGAGGGGCCGGCCTTGCTTCCTTGACCAGCATCCTGAAACGCAAACACTGGCCCCAGACACAAGCACTCAGCCAGCGTCTCCACATCAATCCTCAGCACAACCCCAGGAGCAGGCAGGATCACTGTCCTTCCTGTGGTCCTGTTCAGAGGAGGATGGCAGGGCAGCGAGAGGCACAGAACTTCAGCCAGGCCTCCGAGTAGAAATGGCACGGCCCAGGATGGGGACCAGGCAGGCTGGGGGCTGTGCTCTGCTGAGCCACCTCTCAGTGCTTCTGTGGGTGACATGCTTGCTCTGCAAAGCTGGGTCAGTGGGGTGCTCCTGGGGGGTCTGGAGCTCCCATCCAACCACAGGATCCGTCCTCAGCGCTGCACACACAGTGGCCTGGCACAGAGACGAAGCAGAGGAGCAAGGAGCTACCAAGGAGCAACAGTGACCTCGCAGAATTCCACTGATGTGCATGATTCCCTGCTGACCCTCTTCCACCTGGGGACAGCTGCAGCGGAGGGTCGGACGGCAGTGCCGGCTCACACGCGTGTGCGCAGGCCTGCGTTGCTACAGCACACCTTTCCCTCCGCAGATGTGTGGGTGGCGAATTGGAACATACCTTGGGCGTAAGGGTTTATGTAGGAAGGAGTGACTGTTTATGAGATTTAGGAAGGAGCATATTTAGTATGAACTATTTTCTGAAACATTTACAATCTTACAAGAGAGGAGAGCTGAGGAGCAACTGAAAGGAGAATCGTGCCGCGGAGGAGTCCAGGTGGCCTGCCTTCTCCTTCCCTCCGCTGTGGCCTCTGGATCTGTGAATTTTGTCACCAGCCCTGGTGTCTGGCTGGCGAGGAAGATGGCGTTTGCTCTTGTTTTAGGAAACCAGAGGACACAGAGGCCCAGGGAATGGAAGTCTGTTTTCCCAAACGCCTGGGTTTAGGTGGCTCTCACGGGCCAACTCAGTTTGGGCTCAGTGATCCTCACAAAAGAGTGAAAAACAGCGGTTAACATTTATTGGGCACCTACTGTTTGCCAAGCACTCCAGGGATTGGTGCTCATCTCATTTAACATGCACATGGGAGGTCAGACTCTGTCACCACCATCCCCATGCACCGACGAGGACCCCATGCACCGATGAGGATGAGGACGTATGGCAGGGAGGCTGAGCCTCTGCCCAGGAGACCTCACTGGTGAGGAAGAGCTGCTCCAGCCCGGGCAGCCTCGGCCAGGCCTGTGGGGCAGAGCCCCAGACCCACCTGGGGGCTCCGCGTCCCTGCACTCCTCACGCCCGTGGTCCCTTTGTCTTTGGAACACAGGTAATTGCTGAAAAGGGACAGACACTGGCGAGCGCTGGGCCCTCCACAAGGCTGGGCGCTTTCCCAGTTGGACGGCGCCTTGTGTTAACAGGCAGAACCCTGTTCCCGCCCTGCCCCGTGCTCAGTCTCCTAGGAAGGCAGGCGGACCTCTCAGGCTGTGCCCCAGGAGGAGAGCTGCCCCGGGGCCGAGGAGCAGGCTTCCTGACTGCCCTCCTTGGCAGTGATCCCAGCCCTTCCGCTCTGACCCATGCGGCCCGCTCCCTGTTGGGAGCTGAAGTCGCAGAGCTGGTCAGGGCCTGTGGTCTTCTGGTCTGACCCATTGGTTACAGGTAACGACATTTGGGAAGGCAGATGGGCTCACCCAGGACTTGTGGCTGTTCTCGGTCCTCAAACTGGATTCTCCTGGTCCTCTTGGGGCCACCTGAGATGACAGGAAGAGGAGCAGGGGCTGAGCCACAGACAGTCCTCCCAGTGCCCCCTACGGGCAGAGGGATGGCCTTCTACGGCACGGGGACTAAACTTTTAAAAGCCTGGGCGATGGTGAACATGTAATAAAGCTTGCTCTCTTTCTGTGAAAATGTGGTGGCTGGTATTAAATTCAGCCAGAGTTCCGCCTGTCGGCTTTGTCTAGAGGGGGCTGCCCGTTCTCAGTGTGCCGCCAGTGCCCTGCAATGCTGGCAAAGTGGAGGGAATGGTGCTCTACGGGGGGCCCGTCTCAGAAAACCCCACTTTAGCAAATTCTCCCTGGACAATGCTCAGGGGCCTTTACCAGGAACCTCCAACCTGTGATTCTCAGGAGACTGGGG